GTTTTGTTACAATAATATATATCTTACGTACTTCTTTTTCTGTGATAGCACTTCCCCAAAACCTCCATATTTCACAAAAAAATAAAGAAGGTCTTTGCATTTACCATACATTCCTTTTTTATTCTGCTATAGTTAACTCCAAATGGTTTGTACTCAATAAACCTAATTAAGCGCCTCTCACTTAGGGCATTTTTTTCTGCACGTTACGGGGTTTTAGCAAGTTTCATTCAAAATTTAATTAAAGTATTTTATTATCATCAAAATGTAGTTAATAATTCAAATTTTAATATTATACAATTTTTAAGTTTTTAATTTTATAAGACAATATTAAAAAAATAATCCTCAATTTTCCCTAGTTTACCATCTCTCCAAGAAGTATAAAATTTAACTTAAATTACTCTTTAATAATGTTGTGATCACTCAGAAAAAAACCTTTTATCTTATTTGGTTAGTGAGCCATGAGATAGAAAATCATACCCACTTGCCACATACATTTCTTTCACAAATTGGTAATAGTTCTCTCTGACACTTAATACTTAATATTGTTTATTACTAATAGAAAGCTAAGGTTTTAATCTATCAAATTACATATTATATTACATTGTACAGAAAACTGTCTCTTTCATTTCCAGTTCAAACTTTATTCTCATGGAAAACACATTCAGCTTAACTAAATTTTTAACAGCTTTTGTCACATAGTTAGAAAGCCAGAAGAATTGTGGTAGTTATAGGACACTGTCTGCTTTTTGAATGTTATTGTTCTGTTTTTTGGTGCATTATTTAATTAAATAAAAATATATTTAGTGCAGTAGTACCATTAGTATAAAAAAGTAGGGTTAAGTTTCATTGGCAGTTGATAACACAAAAAAAGAATATCCAGTTAAGTGCTTTATTTCTTGCTTTTCATGTATATTCTTTATTTAGTATTATAAAAGTAACTAAAATGTAAAAATTAGAAACTTTTTAGGTTAGATTAGGTAAAATAAATAATAATAATAATAAATTTTCAAATGGTATGCTCACGATCAATTCGCGAATAGTCCGTGCATTAAGTGATTCAATAGGGTACCATGAGTCACATGTTCAAGTGATTTACAACTTGGGTGGTAGAAAGATTATACAGACATGGTTCAAAGAGCAATAAAACAATAAAGTTTAAATAGAAACAGATGTATACTGTTATAAGTTTAAATCTATTTAGGCTAAAGAAATGTAGTTTCATGTTACAATTTCAAATTTTCTTTTGTGGTTATGAAATTGGTCAAATTGACGAACCTCGTATAGAGATAGTGTACAGAAAATAACATAAAATATAAAGTTTTACTGAAAACGTTTGAAATTTATTTAGGAAGTTTTAGAGAAATTTGAGATTCTTTTGAAGAAAAGTATTTTTAATCTTAACATGAAAACCATTTTGCACTTAGAGTAGTTATCACTAATTAATTGTAATTGTCCAGGAAATAAAATTAAGTTCAAGTTTCTTGATTTGGTTAGCTTTAGTCAAGTTACCTCAGTCATGTCCACATCATGTAACTTTTATGATTATGGCAATTAGTATTCAACAATATGAACATTGTTATTAAATATAATTTTTCTTCAATAAACCAATAAATATTATTTGTATTTTGAACATCTCTTATTTTATTCTCACATTAAATATCCCTCAGAATTGTAATGAACTTATGAGCTATAATTCACATATAAAACAAATAAACACATCTCATCTGACAATTATGTAACATTGTAACAGCATAATAATAGATCCATCAGATTATATATACTTTGTTATTGTACAGTCTTACATAATAAAACATAAAAAGTTATAATTTGGTACTTTGGAAAATTGTGTTAACAAACTTTCATTAGTTGTTAGAAGTGCACACACTGTTAGTATGTACTCCCTTACATAACAATAAAATTTAAAAGTTACAGTCTTTGCATGCCTTGTAGCAAATTTCTGTGGCATTTTTCAAGACTAAGTTTTTTAAAGAAACAAATTCAAGGTATTATTTTAAAGAAAACATATAAATAACTTAGTTGTAGATTAATCTGATTACAAAACAAATTAGGCCTACCTCTAGAAGGTGATATATTCAACAGAGCGTCGTTAACCAGCATTTGAAAAATACAGTTCAAGTTGTCACATGCAGCATATATCTATTATTAACCTTGTATATTGTACACTGCAAATACTTAACACTATATACAGTTCTTACACAATACTCTAGATGGGAAGATCAAGAATACTTTGCAGTTTTTCATCCAACTGCTTTTCAAGAGCAGCCTCATCCTCCATTTTGTCCCTCGCACTCTTTCTAAAGCTGTTGGAGGTGGTGATGAAAGAAATTTTCCTCTGTGTTTCAGCTTTCTTTGCATATTCATCTGCTAAAACTGTCATAGTTTCAATGTCTTTATTAATAGCAGCCTTTTTTCTCTTCAAATACTAATTTCATCATCCAAACCTTTGGTATTCTGTCCTTTTTTCTCTGCCTCTTCTTCATGTTTCTGGTCCTTAAGGTAAGTAATGTATCTGCTGAAGGCACTGCCATCATTAACAAGCATTTTGGATGTTATTTCCACTTTTTCAAATCCACCTGTCAATGAACACCCCTCCTAACAATGAGAGTTCTTTATACCATGTTCACTTCTTCAACTTCTTTAATTATTGAGAAACTTCTTTCTACTGTTGCTTGTCTGCAAGGTAAAAAAGCAGTATTTTCATTGCTTGCCAGAGATGGGAAAATTGCTTTTGACAAGCAAGTCAATAATAAAAAAATGAGACAAAGCAACCAGTGCTTCTTGAAAATAAGCTGAGTGACCTACTACTGACAGCTGAATCCACAAAGAACTTATCAGTAAAACAAACAAGAGATCTTTGCAAACATCCCTAAACTCCCAAATTTGAAGTTCACTCACGCTCTTATTCTTTTTTAGTTCATGGTTGGATGAGTCAGTCACTTTAAGTGACACCAGATATTTTGTTGTTTTGATTTCTTCTATCTTATCTGGGTTTAGAAATCTCTTTAAGAGGCTGATGGCAACAGCATTTAAATCATGGTGGGCAAAATATAACACTGTTTTGTCCATCTGATATTCATTACAACTTCTTTTACAGTTTGAAAGAATTCCATCGTAAGGTCTGAAACAGTGGATTTTATTGACAATGTCCACAAAAGTTCTGAGGGGATCAAGTAGGTATAAAGCCCTCTGAGCAACTTTGGCACTCTCCAATCATCTATATTTACAAAATTCAAGCAGAAAGATAGATGTCTCCATTACACTAACAAAGTTCTCTCTTCTTGCTGGAGTATCATGGCAAAGCTTATACATATATATATATACATATTGGATTCAAAATTTTATCCAATTTCCAATTAGCAGGATCCATCACAGCCTTGGATGCACTATAAACTTTGAGAAGTCCACAGCTCCCTGTTCCCAGAGAAGTATCAATCTCGTCATGGAAGGACCAGTTCATATTAGACCCATCCATTGAAATCTGAATCATATTTCATCAGTTCAAATTTGTAGTTGCATCTTCAAATGCAGTGACCATGTCAAAGGCTGTAGCATGCCTAAGAAACTTGGAGGTAAAATACCTTGTTTTTACAGTACCTAGATCCCAATGATGAATATTGAAAATCCATCTGTTTATTTTGCAAAAAGTTGTTCATACTCTCAGCAAAGAGAATAAAAACTTCTTCAGAGTTTATTCTGTCTTCAAACATAGCTGTAAAATAAAGTGCTAATCGAAAATAAGCCAAATATGACGCTTCTTTTTCTGATAGGCCAAAGTGCTTTGCAATAGCACTGTCAGGAAACATGACCTGAAAAATTCTGTTTATTCCTGCATTAGACGAAAGCTGTGACGCTTACTGAGGGTGTGCAATGTCCAGATAATTTCTTCTTTTAAGGTGTCTTCCTTTCCTACATAGTATAACATGGAAATAGATGAGACTCCAGGTGTTGATTCAGATGAAGATTACTGAGATGGTTGGGTTACAGACAGGGAGGTCAGAAACTGTGCTGTCTGTTTAGACTGAAATATTTATTTAAAAAAAAGGTTAGATCTATCTATAATCTCTTTATTTACTTAAAAGTTTAAAAAATAATAATATCAAGAAAAAAGCATAATTTAACAACCTTGAAAATGAAAAATATACAATAATATTGCCGCACATTATAGATCTATGGACTAAAAGAAGCATTTTCAGGATTAGCTTCATGGGTTGTAGTGGATGAAAAAAAAGACATCAATGATTTTCTGCTGTATTTTTATAGACAAAACAACAGCCATATATGTTATGTCAGGTCAATAAGTAAACACTGTGAATTATATCTTTTGTTGAAACATACAGAACAATACTAGACCAAAACGCAAACATAAAACAAATGGGTCACCATAAATATACTAGAAAGAACAGAAATATTCAAACAGGAAGTTTAAAGTTGGCTAATATTAGTCCTATATTTAAAGAAGATGATAAACATTGTCCAGGCAATTATAGGCCAGTTAGTCTTACATCAGTAGTTAGAAAAGTTTTGGAGAGTGTGCTTAAATATATATTGCTGAGTCACTTAAAGCAGTTTGATATAATGTCAAAGTGGCTATCTGCTGTGTCTACTGAGGGGAATTGAACCCCTGATTTCAGCGTTGTAAATCTGAAGACTTACTGCTGTCCCACCAGGGGACATAGTGTCAAAGACCGAGCATGGTGTGACTAAGGGAAAGTCTTGTTTAACATATCTTCTGACATTCTTTGAGGATGTTACTGCAAGAGTTGATGAAGGAAATGCTGTGGATTTGGTTTACCTTGATTTTTAGAAAGCGTTGATAATTTGATAAGGTGCCTCACAAAAGACTTGTTACAAAAATTAAATCTGTGGGTGTAGGGGAAATGTTATTAAATTGGATAGAAAATTGGCTGGAGAGTAGAAACCAGGGAGTAACAACAAATGGAGTTAGATCAGACTGGATCACAGTTACAAGTGGTGTGCCTCAGGGCTCTGTGCTGGGTCCTCTACTGTTTGTGATTTATATTAATGACATTGACTCTGGAACTCATAACAAAATTTTAAAGTTTGCAGATGACATTAAGAATTTTGGGGTGGCTAATTTTATCAAAGATGCTGCAGACTTATGGGGAGATTTAGATCATTTGACGCATTGGGCCAATACATAGCAGATGATGTTTAACTATCCAAAATGTAAAGTGATGCATGTAGGTTTCATAATTCAAATTATTGTTACAATTTAAATGGGAATATAGTAAATACTATTGTTGAAGAAAAAGATATTGGTGTTGTGATAAAAAAAATCACTTAAGTCATCTAAACAGTGTATTGTAGTTAGCAATAGGACTAATAGGATTTTGGATAACATCCATACAAATATTGAATACAAGACAATGGATATAACTGTTTCCCTGTATAGATCACTAAGGCCTCATTTAGAGTACTGTGTACAGTTTTGGGCTCCCTTCCTCAAGAAGGACATTGAATTGTTGAAGAAGTATCAGAAAAGAGCCACTACAATGATACCTAGAATGGTGGATTTGTTCTATAAGGAGAGAGTAAAATCTCTAAACTTGTTTTTCTCTAGAGAGGAGAAAGGTCAGAGGGAATTTGATTGAAATATTTAAGATTATTAATAGTATTGATAATATAGATTCATCAAACTTTTTGTGTTTAGCAGTGAATACAATAGGATAAGTTAAAATTTTGGCAGCATAGGAGTTGTCTGCAGTTTAAACAGTATTACTTTTCAAACAGAGTGGTTGGCTTTTGGAATGAGCTGCTTTCAAGGGTGGTGGAGGCAGAAAATATAATTGGATGAATACACGAGTAGTAAGGGGTGGTTATACGTGGGAGCTGGAAGGGACAATGTTGATGGGTTAATAAGCATCTTTTTGTCCATTTAAAATGTTATGAAATTTATGAAGCTGTTCAGGGTTACTATAAAATTTTGCACTTTCAAAAACAAAATAAAACTTTCCAGGGAAACTGAAACTACTGTAAATGTATGCTGCAATGCTAAGACATGCACATCATTAGCTCAGAAGATATAGATATGAAATATTTCTTCAAAAAAGATATCAGGCACATATTTTCTTGATTAGAATAGAACAATAAATTATAATAATTAATTTCTATCTCTACAGATTTACATGTACATACCTCTGTCTTCCATATCTCCCATATCACAGAGATTGTTGCCTTTCTGGTAAACTTTGCATTTGGCATAGTTATTTGAGCTAAATCTGGTGATCCAGTCCTTGTAGTCTTCACAATCTAGCAATAGGAGTTGGAAACAGTAGCTAGGCATTTTATGAAATGCAGTGGATATGGACCAAAAATGGTAGTATCAGTAAGTGAAAACAACAGGTTCCTGTATGTTGCCAAAAATCATGTTTCTAGCATTAATCACTCAAAACAGATTTTTTAAAAATGTATTCCCTATTTCTTTGAAAACAATTTTTGTTCTTCCTGTAGGCTAATCGTTTCAAAAATTTCAAGGCTTTTTTCAAGACTTTTCTAGGTTTTCAAGGTCTGCTACGGACACTGAATCTAGTTCTTTCATTACTGATTAGGAAATGTAAATTTGGTTACAGTCATTCTACTAAGCAAATGCATCCTCAAAGCAGCAAAAAATATGCATATTGTATATTATTCATTGTAAATATATGAGCTTGATCCTATTCAGCCAAATTTGTGTAAAATAAATTACTTTTCTTATTAAGAACAAAAAATTAAGTTTCCTACTGATACTATTCATTTGTTAATTAATTTTAGGTGGGTTAGATATAAAAGTTACTTATTATAAAAAATTTTTAATTTGTAAAATTAGTCATATGCAAATTTGTGTGTTTAAGTTGGCAATATTTTTAGGTTTTTAATAAAATTTAATTTTTTCTGAATATATTCATTAATATAGCACATTTAAGAAACATTTGCTTACTTTTGAAATCCTTACAGAAGGATCATATTCAAATGATATGGCTAAATCCTGCCAAACTGGTGCCAATTTTTGACAGTGCCCACACCAAGGGGCATAAAACTTCACAAAATGTTGACCTCTTTGTACAGTTTTTTGAAATGTGTTGTCTGTGAGTTCAAGCATCCCATGATTTGGTTTTGGAATTTTTACCTCTTCCTTTACCTATAAAAGATAAGTCATATTATTTCATGAACAGGTCACTGATATCCCTATATATTTTTCCTTCTCATGGTGGAAATACTTAATCCAACTGCATGAAAACTTGGCAAAATCCAACTAAATAGTATATAATTTCAGTTTTAAAATAATCATATAATTTGATATAGGTTTTCTGGAATTTTGCATGATGTTAAATTTTCAAAATTTTGTTGAGGGACTGTTTTGAAAGAGTTAAAAATATTTCACTTTAGAATATAATTCTTTTTTTTATTGATAATCAAAAAGTTCCATTTACATTCAATTTCAACTTGACTAATATTCATCAATATATTTCTCCCATTACTTTATTTTGCTGACTGTAGGAATCATCACTTATGGCTATAAATTGTGTGTGTATATATATATATATATATATATATATAAACTGAAAAAGAATTATCAGTGACCTATGACCTTACTTGCCAAAATGGCATCAATGAAGCAAGGTAACGATACTGTTAGTTAAACTCATTTTATATCTAGTGAATATAATTTATTTTCAATGAATAATAAATTATTTTACTTATCCAATAATATTCAAGGATTTAAGTCATCAATATTTTGCTCTAAGCCTAATTAGGCTTACATGATGTCTTTTCATAGAAGAAAATTTCCAGTTTTCAGACAAATATAATTTAACAAAATAACGTTTTCAGAAATTAAACAAACATTTAAAAAGTATACAGAAATTTCTAAAAGGTGGTTTGTTGCTACATCATTTAAACCTCCCACTAAATTCTGTCATTCTTCTCTACAGTAACTATATTTAACCACTTTCTAAAAAACCCAACAAATGACTTTTCAGACAACCTTAGACAATCTACAGTGATATAAATAGTCTATAACCTTCTCTATCCAGTGGTATTAAACTTTGCCTGTAGCTGTTTTCAAAGTGTTTCTGAAAGTTGTGCAGAAACATAAGCTTGAGCATCTATTTCATTTTTGTTAGCAAATTACTCTAGACATATTACAAAATTGCAAAGTATAAATTCTAAAATCACATGAGAAAAATACCTTGATAATTATGTTTTCAAGGGATATGTAAATATAAATTTGTGGGTACAACATTTCTTAAAAACTAATAAGTGTGTTATTTGCAGGTGATATTCTTCAGAGCCGTACAGAAAGTTTCATTTTATCATTTGCCTTTGCAAATTACACTAACTATATGTTACAAAATTTCAATATTAAAATATTTTTGAATAAAATATTGTTGAAATAGTTATAATTATCATTTTACATTTATATTTTGAAATATGATAAGCAGGTGAGCACTTAACACCTTACAGATTCTCACTGGTCATGAAAAGGTTAAATAAGCTATGTTACAATTCATCAAACAAAAAAGTGAGATTTAAATAAAAAATTGTGATGAAATCTAGTTATATTGTCATGAAAAATAATCTAAACTTGTGATTTTATTGTTTAGAAATAACTACATTTACATTAATACTTTGTTATTTTCAATTGTATAAAATTTTCCTAAAAAAGTTTTCCTATACTATAATTCAAAAGTTTGCTGGCTAATAACAAATTACCAGGTAGAAAATAAATAAATAAAAAGTGCATAACCAAACAAAACTATGAATTTCATTATCAAGTATCATATTAAAGCAGCCAACAACAAAAATATATCATGAAAGTTTATTCAAATGCTTCAGTAGTTATTTGTACAATATGGTGAAAAACATGCAGTTAAACCATTTAAGCAAGGCAAATCTTCACTAAAACAGTTTATTCAACAGGTAATTAAACAAAAACTATTTTTTAATAGCTCAACTTATTCAGTAGATAACTGACGCAAATTTATTTTTTTAACAGTTTACCTCTTCCTCTCCGAGGGTGCTTGTCACAAATGATTCAAGTGATGGAAGATCTCTAGAACCACGATATTTTACTCCTTCTGTTGACCCACTTTTGAAAAACTTTAACCTATGAAACAAAGGAGGTTTTATACAAAACCTAATACCTATTTCTAATACCAGAAGAATTATTTTTATACTAAAACTTATTACAGTAACAAACAACTCAAAGAATTTTTCATGAGCCTTAACATTTTTTTATTTAAGAATATAAAATATACAGTATAACCTCAATTAACAGGTGCCTTGAAACAATGGGCACCACACCATTAACTCTCTCACCATGGGCTCAGTTTATTTAACCGACCATGTGACCTTTTGGTACTCATATAAAGTCTTTATACATTTGATACTACTAACTTATAATATAGTATGTATATCTTCACAAAATTTGGCAGTCTTTCACATACAAAAAATCAAATTTCTTTTTGAAGTATTTTGAATAAACTAAAAAAAGGTTTGTCTGTGAACATATTGAGTAATTGTTTTGAATAGTCCTTGTGCAAAGTGAATTTCATGTTAAAATTAAAAATATTTTTCTTCATCTCAAAAATCTCAGATTTGATTTGTGTAATCTCTAAAACCTCCTAAATATATTTCAAATTTTTGTTTTTAGTAAAACTTTATATTTTCTTTGTTATTTTCTTTACCCTAACTCTATGCAATGTTGGTCAATTTAAATGACTTCGTAACCACAAAAAAAATAATCTAAAGTACCTTTTTTTCTTTCTTGAATAACTTCAGATTGTAACATGAAACTACAGTCGTTTATCTTAAGTAGCTTTAAACTCGTAACAGTATACATCTATTTACAATTAAGTTTTATTACCCTTTGAACCATGTCTAACTACTAATTGAGCCATTATAGATTGTAAATCAATAGGGGAACATGAAGCTCATGTTACGGTATCAAATTTCATTACCCACGAGCTGCTCTCGAGTGTGCCTCATGAAACATTTATATTATATTATTATATATTTTACATAATCTAACCTTAACTAACCTAAAGAAATCCTTATTTTTACATTTTATATGCTTTTATAATAATAAATAAAAAATAAATATGAAAAACAAGAAATAAAGAATTTATTTGAATCTTCATTTTTCTTGCTGTTGATTCTCGATGACACTTAACCCTACTAATGGTAGTTATGCACTGAATAATTTTTATTTAATTAAATAATGCACCAAAGAAAATTTCCCCTAACTATCACAATATTTCTGGCTTTCTAACTATACAACAAGAACTGTTACAAAATCATTCAAGCTACTCGTTATCTTTCCCATGGGAACAAAGCTTGCACTAACAGTGAAGTTGCAATTCTCCATTCATTATATAATATGTCACTTGATGGATGAATACCTTGGCTTTCTATTGGTTACAAATAATATAGAATTAAACATCAAAGAGAACTATTAACAAATCCTAAAAGAGAAAATGTGACAGGTGGGTGTGGCAAGAAGGGTCTGATTTTCTATTTGATGGTTCTAAAATCAAACAAAATTGAATGCTATAAAAATTATGGTTTATCTGAGCAATGATGATTTTATAGTTACTAATTTAAACTGAATCCTGTACTTACTGGAGTGGTGGTGGATAAAATAGAGAAGAGGAGATGCCTAGAAAAAAAATGGGTCACATGTGTCACACTAAAGGAAATTAAGGATGTTTTTGCTCTTTTTAACTTACATCAATGACAAAGATGAAGGAATGTTCAATAGATTATTTAAATTTGCTTAAAACATTAATGTTTGGGGTGTTGCTGAAATAGGCATTCAGGTTTCCTCACAGTGTACATGTAATTGCTTGATTGACTATAGCACTTATGGTGGTTTCTTACCTAAGTATGTTACAGTTAGAGAGACAGTCAAATTGTATTTAGGTCTTACTTTTATATTTTAATAAATTATGTATTATTTATCAATATCATCATCATCATATCATCCGCAAAGTCCATTGCTTTAATTGGGAAAAATAGACAGAACATCCAAGATATGACAAGGAATTTACAAGAGATTGGTAAGAAAGTTGGGCTCAAAATAAATGCTACAAAAACTAAGACCATGACAGTCGGACACAATCTGGACAGGGCAGTAACGATTGAAGGATCAGAGATTGAAGATGTACAAGATTTCGTGTATTTGGGTAGTAAGATAGTGGCTAACGGAGAATCAGACATTGATGTTCAAGCAAGACTTAATAGAGCTACAGGTGTGTTCAATAGGCTTCGACCTATTTGGAACTCGAGCACCATCAGAAAAGAGACTAAAATCAAATTATACTCCGCCATTGTAATACCTAAA